TAGCCCAGCTGGAACTTCAGATCTTTTGTTCTGAAATCCCTTTCTTAAAGTGCCGTCGTTTTCTTGTTTAAACAACTTGTCTGGAAGACAAGTACCTGGTGCACTCCTGGCACGTTGGCTTTCTCTGCATGGAGAGGTCAATTTTTTGCATTGAAAATCATAAACAAGAGTTAAATAAAAGAAGTTTGATTTGTTTCATTTAGAGACTGCTACATTATTTGAAACATTAAAACCAGAAAGGCTGGAAGTCTTAACTATGTGCCTGCTGAACATAAAAATTCTAGGTTTTTTTCAGAAGCTTTGATATTTTGATTACATCCTATTTCTTCATTTCAGACTCCTAACCTTAGTCTCAAGTTTTACAAAGATAGATTGACTTGTGGTTTTTGGGGGGCAGGCTTAGATAACATTTTGAGATTTGGGAGAAGGACTTAACTAGAAATTGATACCACTGAAATAACCCAGCTGGGGATAACTGAAAGCTAATTACACCCTGAAAGCAGCACTCTGTAGCTGAAAGCTAATTATTTTGTGAAATTCCCTGAACTGAAACAAAAAGGCTCTTTCTGAGCTTTTTTTTTTTTTTTTAATATATATATATATATATAACAGTGGTGCAGTACCTGCAAGATAAAATTAAAGTTTGGAAATAGTTTTGAAAATACATTTTCTTTTGATGGAATATATCCTATAGGAGGAACAATAACACCATTATGAGTAAGGATACTGCATCACTAATTGGCTTGTAACTTTCTCCAACCTGAAAATTTGGGTGCTTGGCCCCTGCCTGACTTCTGGAATTTGGGTAGAAGAAAATAATTTCTATGGAGTAAGTTAGTATCTCCTACTTCCCAGTGACTGCCTGATACATAACATATTTTAGCATTTTCACAGTATTAAGGAAAACGACTTCATTAACATTTGGGTATACATGAACGGTTTCTGGCACTAACACTGATAGGAATATTCAGGAGAGCCTAAATTTTCAGTTACAGGGTAGATTGAAAAGGGATAGCAGCAGTTTTAAGCTAAATTTGTGCTGTAAACCTTGACATCAGTGTTGCATTTTTAGCTCTATAAATTGTCCATGAAATGTAGAAATCCAGGGACTCACATTTTAATGCCATGGACATTTCTCATGGCCTAACATTTTCTTGCTGGGTAACTATGTCCTTGGCCCTGCTTCTCATGCAAATGGCTATAAATCAGAAGTAATGCTTGTGAAGCTGCTGAAATACAGCAGTGTCAAAAGACAGGAGATACATGTCAAGGCTTTGCCCTGATGCTGTCAGTTTGGTTTGCTTTTTCCTTTTCTTGTCTAGGAAGGTACTTCTGGAGATGAGTGTTCCCAGGATGGAAACGTATTGGCCATATCTCATCAAAGTCCACCTGGTTTTGTTTCACTGAGACCAGTGCAGCTGTAGCAAAGGCTGATTTGCCTCCGTGTTGATCTGCTGTAAATATACTTGCCTCTCTCTGGAAAAAAGTCTCTTCTCCTTATGGGAGTCAGCTGTCATTGAGGTGCTCTTTCCACTGCCAGGCTCCACCTCTTTTTATCTACAGTTGCCCGGTGTCTAGTTATTTCTTCTATGCAGGAAGCAGATGACTTGTGTTGTGCTGAAGCACTGGGTGGATGGAGAAGACAGATGATACTCTGTGTGCACTGTAGCAGTGAAATCCAAGGTGTGCTGGCCATTCTAGCACAGGCTGGATTCAAACCTTTCACTGAGAGTATTTAGCTGGCAGCAACTCTGCCTGCTGTATGCAGCCAAGGGTGTAACAGTAGGAAAACAATCACAGAATCACAGAATCACAGAATATGCTGAGTTTGAAGGGACCCACAAGGATCATAGAGTCCAACCCTTAGACCTACACAGGACCATTTCCAAGAGTCACACCATGTGCCTGAGAGTATCATCCAAATGCTTCGTGCTGTGACCCCTTTTCTGGGAGCCTGTTTCAGCACCCAACTACCCTCTGGGTGAGAAAAATTTTTCTTCCTAATATCTAACCTAAACCTCCCCTGACACAACTTGTCACCACAGAGAAAAGATCAGTGTCTGCCCTTCCATTTCCTCCCATGAGGAAGTTGTAACTGCAATGAGATCTCCCCTCAGTCTCCTCTTCTCCAGGCTGAACAGATCAAGTGACCTCAGCCATTCCTCATACAGCTTCCCCTCAAGGCCCTTCACCATCTTCGTTACCTTCCTTTGAGCACTCTCTAACAGCTTAATATCTTTCTTATTTTGTGGTGCCCAAAATTGACACAATATTCAAGGTGAGGCTGTACCAATTCAGAGCAAATCGGGACAATCCCCTCCCTGGACCGGCTGGTGATGCTTTCCCTGATGCCCTCCCAGGACATGGTTGGCCCTCCTGGCTGCCAGGGCACTGCTGAATCATATTCCTCAGGTCCCTTTCCAGCATCTCATTCCCCAATCTGTACTTACATCTGGAATTGCCCCATCCCAGATGCAGAATCCAGCACTTTCCTTCGCTGAATTTCATACAGCTGGGGATTGCCCAGTCATCTGATTTGTCGAGGTCTCTCTGCAGGGCCTCCCTGCCTTTGAGGGAGTCAACTCCTCCGAGTTTTGTGTCATCTGCAAACTTGCTTAGTATTCCTTCCAGTCCTGGGTCCAAGTAACTTATGAAGACATTGAAGAGCACAAGGTCTAAGATAGAGCCCTGTGCAACACCACTAAAAGAAAGAACAAAACTTACTTTCCTCTGTTTTCAAGGAATAAATGTTATCTTTGGATGGACTTTGAGGTCATCCAAAATTCAGTGGGAAAAAATGTTAAATAAAATCACATGTAGATCAACGTTGATACCTTCTTCCAAAAGAACAGGAGTAATTTAGGATGTTAAAGCTACATTTATACAACCCAACCAAAGTGTCATGATACTTTTCCTGATGCTAAAGCCAACCCATAGCCTGTGCCAGGGTTCATGAAGAGCCACTGGTGGAAGTACCAGCATAGACATAGCCACAGGTGTGTTTTCAGCTTGTAATGTGTAATATGGACATACGTTCCTGAAGTGAAAGCCAGCTATTCTGTTGCTTTGATACTGTTTGTTTCGGTTCCCACTACACTTCTTTCTCTTGAAGTCATGTTTAAAAAGGGCTCCTTTGCTACAGTTTGTAGAACTCAAACTGTCAAGTCAGGCAGAGGATTTGGGAGAAATTTACCCAGCATCTGATCTGACACAGAAAAGGGAAAATAAATCAGGCTTTTTCTTGACATGAATGACAGAGGCAAGAAGAGCATGAGTCTGTCGTGGGTTACTTTATTTTAAAAGAGACGATTTCTAGCACACACCTCTAATCTGCAAATTCAGGATATACTTCCAGTAGTCTCTAAAAATCCATAATGCCTGCAATCATCACTACCATTGCTCAGCTAAGTGCTCAGGGAAAGCAAACATAGCCAAATTAAGAGTTTGAAGCATGTGTTCATGTTATTATTCATGCTGTAAATAAGATCAGGAACTGTGGCTTACATAGGTCAACTGATCTCGAACAAAATACTGACTCATAATTAGTGAGGGTACTTAGGCTGGTGGCTAAGCATATCTACCACACAGACAGATCTGATTAGGCTCTGACATACCCAAGAACAATGTGCAGTGTGTTATTTGCTGAACACAAGCCAAATGATTTCGCACAGAAACCAGTAAAATGCTATTAACACTGTTAACAAAATTAAATATTTCTGTATTTTCCTATTGTTCTTAGGAGAACAATCTGTCTTTTTATTAGGGGACACTGTCTGCAGCAGCAGAATTACAGACTGTGACAGGGGCTGCCAGACACTGCTCCTGTGCAGGCACATACGAAGTGGGGTTTGAGGAAAGATTGCTTACTGAAGTGATATCTACCCGCCTCTGCACAAGGCCAGATGACCAGTTTTCTGGGGTATGTGTCAAATCAAATTTCAGAGGCTGAGTGGAAACAAGGAATGTTTTGCCTGCGGCTCTGGAGGCAATGAAGGGCTAGGGTGGATGCACACACCCTGGTGATGCACTGTATCAGCCACCCTCTGCTGCAACTGGGTCTCTGTCTCTGCCCATCGGTCTCTTTTCACTCCAGTACATTTCTCAGCATCACCACTGTGAAGAGACAAATCTTATTATGGCAGGCAAAGGTTAGGGATCTTATTATGGTGAGGGAAGGCCAGGGATTTTCTCAGAATGTGCTGGGAGTGGTGTGGCCCACAGATGTGTCTGCCACAGATGGTGCAGCAGCCAAGGCGACCTGCCCTGTCCTAAAGGAGAGGAGTGAGTAATGAGCCACAAAGCACTGGTCTGTGATCACCCAGCCTTGCCTGGGTCAGGCACACCAGACACCAAAATGGTTACAGGAAGGTAGTGATGTTACTTGTTCCTTGGGGATGTCATGGGGCATTGTTTATACCACTACCATCTCCGTATGGTTCTCAGTCACTCATATGGTCAAGCCTTCTAAGCTCAGTTTAAAAGACTGAAAGAAGTGTGTGTGTGTGTGTGTGTATATATATGTGTATACACACACATATCACTTGGATATTGAGATGTTGGGGTTGAAGTGGTGCAGGACAGGAGCAGGAGTGCAGGGATTGTGCAAATAGGAGCCATGAGAAAGATGGACCAAGAAAACGGGAGCAGCGGTGTGAGCAAAATAAATACCTCTGTGTACACATGTATATGTGTGTGTGTGTGTATACAGGTATATCTATACATCTACACTCCCAACAGCTTCCCAGCGATCAGGGCTGCAGTACTAGCTTTCTAAGACTAACCTCTGCCACAGCAGTGCCTCCCGCCCTGCGAAACCCGCCCGTGCTCGGTGCCACCCCCGCCCCGCCCGCCCTGCCGAGCTGCGGGCCCGGCCCCGGGGCGGGGCTCGGCGAAGCGGCGTGGGCTCGGCGGCGGGGCGCGCTCGGAGCCAGGTGACCTTGGCCGGCAGAGCCGGGCTGCGCCCGCCGCCGCCGCTGCCGGGGAAGCTGGGTGGGGAGACGGCCGAGATGGTGGAAGACGGCGGCGAGGAGGAGGCGGAGGGGGAGAGCGGGGAGATGCCGGCGGCCACCGCCGCGCCCCCGCTGCCGCGCTGCAATGGCTTCCTGCCCGGCAAGGAGGCGGCGGGCGGCGGGCGGGCGGCCCCGGCGGGCGGCGAGGAGCAGCCGGCAGCGCCGGCAGCGCTGGCAGCGCCCGTAGCCCCGGCGGCCCCGGCGGCCCCGGAGGCCGAGGCGATGCTGCCGACGGGCGGCGGGCGGGTGGAGACGCGCCTGTCGCGGCGTCGGCTGGCGGTTCTGGCCGTCTTCAGCTGCTACTCGCTGGTCAACGCCTTCCAGTGGATCCAGTACAGCATCCTCAGCAACGTCTTCGCCGTCTTCTATGGCGTCTCGTTCACGCAGATCGACTGGCTCTCCATGGTCTACATGGTGGCCTACGTGCCGCTGATCCTGCCGGCCACCTGGCTGCTGGATGCCCGAGGTCTGCGCCTCACCGCCCTCCTGGGCTCGGGGCTCAACGCGCTGGGCGCCTGGCTCAAGTGCGGCAGCCTGGCCCCCCAGCGCTACCCCATCACCCTGGCCGCACAGGCCGTCTGTGCCGTCGCCCAGGTCTTCATCCTGGGGCTGCCGTCGCGCATCGCCTCCGTCTGGTTCGGCCCCACCGAGGTCTCCACCGCCTGCGCCGTGGCTGTGCTGGGCAACCAGGTAGGGGCGGAGAGGAGCCAAGGGCGGCTTTGGAGAAGTGGGCTTCCTTGGAGTTTGGTATTGAGTTAAAAATAAGGTGCTTAAAGGGATAAGACATTCTCTAGGAAGCGGTTATGGGGCGACATTGGAGAGTGGAAAGGTGAGGGAGTGGGGACAAGTGTAGGGTGATGCTGCGCCCGGCCCTGCCTGGCCAGCCTTTCTGTGCCGGACCTCGGCCGTGTGTAGCAGCTCACACGCTTCCAGATCAGCTGCTGGGAGTACACTAGTCAAGACTTCTGAAAAAGTGGTCTTAGTCCACTTTCTCTTCCTCTTGCATTTTGACATTTGGATTCATATGACTGAATCCGCCCCCGGTTGGAGGGGTGTGAAGTACGTGAACTTTCATGAAGAGCCCCAGCGCCAACAAATACTGGTTTCTGCTTTGTAAAATATGGCCTCTAATTGCCAGGTGCCAGTAGTCAATACCCTGGTGGCTCGTGAAGTTTTCTGTTACGCTGTGATAGTTCACATCACTGTGGGGAGCTGATAACTGAGTCCTGGATTTCCTCAAGCTCCCTGGTCCTGGCCAGTTTCAGAGAGCTGGAACAGGTGCATCTGAAAGCACAGGTGCAGGTATGATACTTGGTTTTTTTCCTCCTATAGCTTTGTTCTCACACCTTGCCACTGTCCCTGCTTTTTGGTGGCAAAATATTGCTAAGATTCCAACCAGCATCACTGGTGCAGGCTGAGGTCATAGGTAGAGTTTGATAAAGGTAGTGGGAATTTGTTTTTTCTCATGTGAGTCTAATGATTTTATGCTTGTACACTTTGGATTATTATAATGGTACCAGTTAATGTTACATATTTACATTTAGGGTTGCCCATTAGCTTATACCTGTCTGCAGTTTTTCCAAAACAATGTTTTTTTGCGTTCAGGTCTTTCAATGTACAAGTCGTGTCCCCTTTGGGCTGAAGATTTCAGGTGTTGTTGGTTGTTTCATCAGCTGAGCAAAAATTTTGGATCTACATCCTGGAATCGGGTTAAAGGTTTCTTTGGTAGCTAAATTTCCACTCTTCCTGACATGCACCAGTCCTTCCAAGTAGCAAGGAGTTACTGGGTTTTCAGTTCTGCAGTACAGTGCCAAGGATGCAAGTGTGAAAGTGTGAAGCTTTTGAAATGCGAAACAGATGCTTCGTTTGGATGCTGAGATGAGTGGGTCGAAGTGGAACAGGACAGGAGCAAGAGAGCGGGGATTGTGTGCATAGGAACCACGGGAAAGATAGACAAGGGAAATGGGAAGAGAATGTGAACAAAAGAAGTCATAGTTGTTTCTGGAGCATATTCCCCTCCAGAAGGTAGGACTGATCTCAGTGTGCCGAAGTGCCTGCTGGTCCTCTGCCAGGGAAAAAACCTGTGAAATGCACTGACAAGGTGTATTTTGTCTCCCTCTGGCAGTCCTTTTGCAGAGGAGAGTGGCTTATTCTGCAGCTGGGCCATACCCTGCTACCTCAGAGCTGTGTGCTACAGCGGTCCGAAGATCCTGGTCCTGCTTGTGACGCTTGAAGTCTGATACGGTGTCAAACAAGGAAATTTCTCTGTTCTCAGTTTTTGCTTTCTTAGAAAACAAACCCCAAAATCAAACTAAAACATCCCCCCAAACACACACCCAAACCCTCAAAAGCTAGATTGAAAGAGATGGCAAATTAGAAATTAGAAATAATATTGTCTGTATATTCTACTGCAATTCACTTCTTTATACACATTCTGGTAGGGTCTCGGTGTACTTGTTTAATTGCACAAGGTGAACTATGTAACAGAACACGTTGCTATTACACACTGTGTGGTTGGTCATCCGACTTCTTATCAGAAACTTCTTATAACTTCAGAGCTTCAGCAAACAGGGCTGGGAGTGCAGGCATGGAAGGGACAGGGTAGTTATGAAAAATCAGATTGTACCCATTACCTGTTTAGATGCTGATCATTTGCAGTTGGAGCGCAGATCCCTGGGAATGCAGTGATGTACCTGCCGAGGGTTGTTAGGAGTGCCAGATTTCCGCAAGTATTTAGCGTCTTAAACAAGGCACACCAAAGCCATTGGAATGCTTGATCCTCCTGGCCTTAACCTCTCTAGATGTAAATGATGAAAAATGGTATCACTTGACTTTGTTGGAATATTGTGGGTACTGTACTGGCTCTTACTGGGGGAGGAAAAAACATACCGTGAGAAAAGAAGTAACTGTGTACTCAGTTCATGTTTGTAGAGTTCATTTACTGAAGGGTGAGGACAAAAAGAGACACAGTCTTCATGTGAGCACTGGATACTGTGTAAATCCGATGGGCTGTGGGGAAAAAAATAATTGCAAACCACACATCGGGATATGCACAAAGGATGTTTTGTAAGCACTGTGGCACACTTTAAGTGTCAGTACTTTGTGAGTGTTGGACTTACTACTCTGTAGTAACAGTCTTTTGTGCTCTCTTTTTGTTTTATTTTATCTAAAATAGATACAGGTTCTTTAGTTACAAAATAAATATTCTAGCACTGTAAAAAGCAGTTTAGTTTTGGAGGAGCAAAAGAGAGAAATTGGGGAGTAGTCCAAGATGGTTGTTTCTTCATGTTTTAAAATGCTTTTAAAATATATATACTCAAAATTTCAGTCCTGGGTTTTTTTTGGTCTCTTTAATACAAAATCAGTTGTTATGTTGGAATTTTCTCCAGATACAAATCAGATACTAGTTCACTCTGTGATTTTTCCTTATTTCCTTAACAATAATTGTTGGTTTTCGTTTCTCAATAAGGATGTTCCTTTTCTCTTGCTCTTCTCAGCTCAATCAGTAAACATTGCATGTCAATCTTTGTTACTGTGTTGGCAGGAATGTGGCATCAAATGGAGAAGAGCGTTTCTGCAAAAGTAGCTTGTCTTCTATCAGTTCCAACCCTTCAGTTGCAGGATGACTGATATAGATTTATGTGCATGCACAGTGTTTTTCTGTGAAGAATCTTAGATATGTGCTAGGTGTAGTATAGGTATACAGTAGGTGTAGTATTGGAGTTTAATGTAGAAATGAAAAGGTTAAAACCTGAATTATGGAAGATCTGATTGTAAAACATCATCAAGAGAAAATGGCTCAGAAGTATGACACTAAAGGAACACTTTTCCTTGATAGTTTTACTAACACTTATTATGAAAAATTTCTAAATTCTACCTGGTAAGACTTTTCACTTCTGTTAATTTTTATGTTCATAGGCAAATTATTTTTCATTTTCTTTTCTTGCTTTACAGCTTGGCACTGCAATTGGGTTTTTGTTGCCACCTGTTCTGGTTCCAAATACACCTAATGATATTGATCTCATGGCACATAACATCAGCATCATGTTCTACGGAACAGCAATAGTGTCCACACTTTTGTTCTTCTTAACAGGAGTTGGTAAGTGTTTCGTTCCTGGAATTTAAATGCTGACCATAGGGAGTGTTTACAACATCTCACTTAAAGCATCTGACTGTTCAAAGTAGTTGAGGTTACATTTTCTCCAGTTTGTTTGTGTACACTCACTTATTGTGCCAGAGTTAAGCAACAACCAGTTCACTGTATGTCGTGCTTCACATGGGGTGACCTCTTTCAGAATATTTAGTTCTCTTAGGTTTTTTGCTATTTTAATATGAATTCCCTCTGTTAAAGTTCAAATTGTTGGTAGCAATCAGATGTGACTTTTGGCTGTGACTTGATCCTTTAATGAGAAAATCTAGAATATTTTTTCATGAAAGTCTTAAAATCACTAGGTCAGTCTTTTGAAAATCATCATGCTGAAACACTTAAAAAAAACAAAACCAAAACCAAAAACAAAAAAACCCATTAGTGGTAAAGGTAATTCCAAATTGTTCTTTCTTCTTTTTCCCCAGTGTTTGAAGAAAAGCCCAAATATCCTCCTAGTCACTCCCAAGCAGTCCTGCTAACCAAACCTCCCGAGGATTATTCCTACAAGCAGTCCATTACTAACTTGTTCAAAAATACTCCCTTTGTACTTTTGCTGATCAGTTATGGTAAGTGGTGCTGCCTGGCTGTAGTCTGGCAGAACAGTTCAAATGTGTGCTGATAGCACACTGAGTTTTAATTGCGGTGGTGGTTTTTTGTGGGGGAGGGAGTATCAAACTTTTATTTATTCAGCTGCCAGTTCTGGAAAATCTTCCTGGGTGCAAAATACCATTTATAGGTCCAGTGAAGAGATTTTACCTCGCAAATAAAAGGTTTTGCCTCTGATATGAGCCTTAAATGTCAGAAGAATAATTCTTTAGGGTAGCAGATCTGCTTGGCTACCCCTGGAATGACTGAAGCGTTTATTTTGGTACTGCAGGTATTATGACCGGGGCATTTTATTCTGTCTCCACATTATTAAACCAGATGATAGTAACTCATTATGAGGTAAGTTTCTAAGATCTTCTTTGTGGTTTTGGTTTCTTTCTCTGTACATTTGCAGAGGTGATGTTTGTTATTATGTAGGTGCTATGTGTGCTCAGATGTTTGGTGTCCTTTATATGCCTCTACAGTTTCTTGTACCATGCAGCTGTGGGAGTCATAGAAATGTTTGTTTGCACTTTTGACTGCCGTGAGGTCTGAACTTGACTCTGAGTGGAAGCAAGTTATTAATGAGCACCATATAAATATTTGTTGAAAGGGAGAAGAAGTGAACGCTGGGAGAATTGGCTTGACTCTGGTGGTGGCAGGAATGGTGGGTTCGATTATTTGTGGTTTGTGGCTGGATTACACTAAAACATACAAGTAAGTGTGGGTAGGCATGTCTGGGGTCAGGGGTAGGAGAGTGTTGCAATTGCATTAGAAAAATACTGCAATGTAAGGGCTGAAATGAACTGATGATAAAATGCAGTTCATCCCTGATCTTTTAGTGGCCTTGATGGAGACAAATTTCTGAGGCTACAGTGAAAGCTTGAGATTCTTACTGGTTCTTGACCAAAAGAGATGAGGGAGAGGAATGCAAAGATGCAAAGGGGTTTTCCATCTACCCCTGTCTCTTCAGGAGTGTAAGGCTGTAAGTCCTACATGCAGTGGCCAGGTGGCCCAGGGAGCTTCTTCTCCTAGGAAAGCATAAAGGCTTAAAGCCTACTCTGCCTTGTTTTATAAAATGGACAGCTGATGGATTCTCAATTTTTTTATACTACTCCTGGTCCTATTAGTAAGCATAACATTAGCTTTAATTCAGGGGGTGACCATGGAGCAGAACTGTGTTCAGCTAGGAGACTAGGAGCTCCGTGGTGCAACACCCAAGGCCTCCAGCAGCAAGCACTGGCCTGGAGCACTCTTTGTGATGGAATAGTTCTCCCCTGTGACTCATAGCACATTATGTGCAAGAGCTCTAGAAACCTAAAGGATGTTAATGCTGTAGATTGGCTTTGTTTCTGCATGTGTTTTGGCTTATAAATATGTGCTTTAAGAATTTGGATGACATCCCTTATTCCAGATTTTAAAATAAATAGAACATTGTAAAGAGATTTGTTCGACTTGCCTCTTAGTAGGCTGACTTTTATTGTTAATAGTGTTCAGTTTGGCTGCTCATGTGTTGATGTGTCATGTAAAGGGCAGCACTGCAGAATGGCCCAGAGGCACAACATAGCAGAGAACTTAGAATAGTCTTAAGGTAGTAGTATCCACTGTGATTGTCCACTCTTTGAGAGTCTTGAGTCCTTAGTGCCTTGAGCCTTGAGTGAAGCAACCATATAACTGAGGCACTAAAGAGGTCAGGAAGCAATATACTCTCATTGCATGCTATGTTTGAGTCAGAATTCAATGAAGCAAATTTTATAGCTTTAGAATGTCAGTTGTTAGAGAGTAACTAATGTTTATGTTGCCCTTCCATGCTTCAGTAATGTGCTATGACCTTCTGTTAAGAATGTTAACTTTTTTTTCTTTTTTTTTTTTTGGTTGGGTTGCAGGCAAACTACTTTGATTGTTTACATTCTCTCTTTCATTGGGTTGTTGGTATTTACCTTCACCCTGGACCTCGGATACCTTATAGTAGTGTTCGTGACTGGAGGAGTACTTGGGTGAGCAATTAAAGAGCACTAGAAGACTTACTGCAGTTCTGTTCAGAAACAGTATTTAACTGTTTTAATTAGATGGTCCTACTGTGTAGTCTGTCACCATGATCTCAGCCTATGCCTATAGCTCACAGTGCAGGTAGGGTTTACTAGGATCTCACCTTCTGTTAAATCAGAAGGAATCTAAAGTAACTCACTTTCCAATAAATTTCATTTAACATTTTTATGGACCTAAGTCTCTATGCAGTCAATTAATTTGATTGCAATTCAAAAAGCTGTCTGCAGTAAAGTTGCAGGTTCCTGTTGACCAGTGGAGAAGTGATTTAAATTTAAGCAAATCTAGAAAGACTGGCTTCTTTGCGTTTTGATTAATTTCTACTTTGACAGCCCAAGCAACATGCTGGTTGCTTTTATTGCTCAGAGGAGTATGAGCTGTCATCATAGATACCTGATCTAAAAGCCTCAAAAGGTGGTGAGGGAATGGTGCTGTGTTTAGACACAGCAGACCAGGTAAAGCCAGAAATGTCTTGAGACAACCTCAACTGCATTAAGCCCCTGCTCCTCCTGTCACCTGTCAGTCCCTTCAGCTTATTCCATAGCAGCTTCTAGCAGATGTTCTGGTGTACAGTCTCATTCCCTACTAATAGTCTCTTTTTGTCCTCCAGCATGGATATTTGGGCTGATCAAATGATGATGTTTTTGTATATCTTTCACTTGAGAGGAATTGGCTTCAATTATGTAGTGGCTTGTGGACTGGTCAGAAAAGGTTGTTTCATGTGTCTGGAGTGGAATGCAGGTGGTTATGGGAAATAGGACAAATACGTTAAAACACCTTTATCCTAAAGAGAAAGAGATGTGTGGCTAAAATTCTTGCACTTTGTTGAGGGAATGAAGCCAGCAAAGGAATTATTGAATTATGTTAAGTTACGAAAACATGGCAGTTCAGAGTACCAGCTAATTCATAATACCCTCTGTGTATGTTAGATTTTCTTAGCTGTAGTAATAGATGAAGGCCATCTGTCATCTTTTTAACTCTCCTCTTCAACAGGTTCTTCATGACTGGCTATCTTCCACTTGGATTTGAATTTGCTGTGGAAATTACATACCCAGAGTCTGAAGGCACTTCCTCAGGTCTCCTTAATGCATCAGCACAGGTTGTATCATCTTATTTCTTCAAGTAAAGTAATTTTGGGAAGACCACTATGTTCAGGTCTAGGAAGGCTTTCTTAGACTTGGCTACTAAGTTTTTGTGTTGTTGTAGCCCTTGTTTGTTGTAATTTGTTTTCTGTAAGATGTGACCTGAAACTTTAAAGGTAAAGTGGTGACTCTTTTCTGTGTCATCCTGATGAACTGCCTTGTTTGTTTATAGATATTTGGAATTCTCTTTACACTTGTTCAAGGAAAACTCACAACAGACTACAGTCCTCGTGCAGGAAACCTCTTTCTTTGTGCTTGGATTTTTGTGGGCATTATCTTAACAGGTAATTAATGAGAAATACAAGTAATGATTTTACTCTTTGATGTAAAAATGTGGAGGTTTTAAGGGTGATATTTCTAGTATATGGACAGTCATTTGACATCCATTTCTTGAGTCATGCCTTGAATTTGAGACGGATATCTATCATCTCCAGAATAGAGTGGTAAATGGAAAAAAATGCATGAATGGAGGCAGTTTGCAGTTTTCCAAATGCAAGAAACTGCTGATGTATTCTGGAACTGTAGCAGTGACTTACGCATGTTGGGACTTACAAATGTGCTGAAAGTGCTAAAACTATCAAACTTTGCTTTAAGTACTTGTGATTTAAAAGCTTTTATTGTCATTTTCTGCTTTGTATGCTTTGTGGGGAGCAAGTTCAAATTGGCAATGAGTTCAAATTGCAGAAGAGTGAATATGGGTATTTTGAAAATGTGCTGAAAGCATCTTTGGTGTGCTTGCACTATGCAAGCATTTCCCTTGACATGCATGTCATTGCAAAGTTGTGAACCAGCTTTCTTTTTTCCTTTTTGTTTTTGTTTCAGCCTTAATAAAATCAGATTTGCGAAGACACAATATGAATTCAGGGATTATGACTTTGGATGTTAAAGCTGTAAGTGGTGACTCCGTGATTCTATTACCTACTTGAATGCTTGCCTTCTATTGGCATAACAATATTAACTGCAAAAGAGTAAACACAAAATCTTATGACTGTTTCCATTCTTGGCTTCCAACAGAGCCACATGGGATGCTGCCCTCAGATATCTGTTTTTCCCCTTAGCTCCCATGAAGAAAAACCTAAAATACCTTTTGCTCTCAGATTTTCCTGAATTTTAAGAGGCTAATATTAATATTTGATTTTATTGCTTGAATCTTACCTTTTCATATTTACAGGTATCATTGTGAAGCCTTTTTGTGTATTGAGTTATGAGGCCATCCTATAGACTATGCATTTTTTTAAAAATATCTGCAGTCCCTTCAAGCGAAATCAGAGTATAGTGAATAGAAATCATGCTGCAGTTTCTGTACTGTGCTGCATAAAAAGCTGGGTTTGTTCTTATGCTGAGTGCCCTCTCAATTTAAATGAAGAGTAAGCATAGCCCTTTCTGCTGTTCATGAGGTTCCAAGACCATGTTTCAGCAACTTTTCCAAATTACCACAGTTACTAGTAGAAATAAAGTTCTCACCGAAACCTTTTTTCAGTAGATCAAAATATGGGACAGCTTTTTAGAGTCGGATATTGCAAGATCCTCTGCCGCACTTCTGTTTTATGTGTAGGTGTTTTGCGTGTACAGCAGCTTTCGATCATCTGTGGTCAACTACACACTGTTAGTGTCTGCAGGAGGTTCAAAAGCTTCCAGGCTGGTGCTGTATGAGCTAACTTGAACCTGAAACCTGTGCAGCTGTGTGTGCACAGTGTGGCATCCTGTGGGTTTACCAGCCTGAGTCGGGGCTGTCTTGGGGATTATATGTTGCCTATAGACAGTGGCCCGTGACTTGTCTGATTTCTGTTATCACCTTCCTAATTAGCCTAGGTTGTCACACAACTTCATTTATATTAGCCAAGATATAAGAAAAGCTAGAGTCTTTGTGCTGGTATTACCATAAATAATTAAAAGCTGTCTGTGTTAAAAATGTACAATAGCACTTTGATACCAAACCTTGATCATCAAGATTCTATAGTGTTTAAATGTAATGGAGAAAAAAACTGGAAGTTAATTTTCATGTGACAAACATCTATGTGCTGTAAATACATACTTTAGAATTATACTAAGAAACTAAATTCTAAGATTTGGGGGTTTTGTTGTTGTTGTTTTGTTTTCTTGGTTGTTTTTTGTTTTAATAGAGAAGGGAAAATAGGTCTTAATTTGTATAATTAACTAGATGTTCTACTAGAGTCTAAATTAACAATTAACTAAGAATACTGAGGCTGGGAATATTTCTGATGCATAACAGCTTAATTCCTGTTGTGTTTGTGTTTTTTTTGTAATCTCCCTCTCCAGGTACCAGTTGACAGTCCTGTAGAACCTGAAAGCACTACGTTAAAAATTCAGTCAACTTTATAAAGCAGAAGGAAGGTGACTTAGAAACGCACAAGTTTGGTTGGATATGGAACAATATGAACTAGTATAATCACTGGATTTGTGTGTATGAGTAGTAAAATGTGTTTGTTGGTATTGGTGGTAGATGTGTGGTGGAAGCTATGAAGATGCTCAGTTCATTTTGCCCAAGATGCAAACAATTCACCTTTGTACGGAATATTTATTTAAACGGTTGTCAAGTTTTGCAGTTTCACTAGTAAAGAACTTTGTGAACACTATCCACACTAGGGAGACATGCACATTCAGGATGCATACTTGAAAAATTCTGGAATCCTGAAGTACAGTTGTCGTGATTGGAAGTATCTAATCTTCTTTTCTTGTTCAGTCTTTGCCGGTGCATTTGAAAAGTCAAAGAGTAGGGAGCTGCACAGCAGGAGGACGTTCACGAGTTCCTTTTTTATTTTAAATGTATCTGTATTTTAATATAAGCCAATGATTCCTTCTGGGAAACTGATAGCACAATACTGAAAACAAGAGATGACGTGTATGTTCCATACTGGCATCTGACATTTCTTTTGCCTTGAAACTTCTTGATAGGTATCAGAAGGCAGATAAGAGAAAACACTATCTCATAGATTCATTGTAACAGTTCTGGGGAGGTTTAAAGAGTTTCCCACTAGGTAAATTGAAGAAAAAACATTTCTTATTAAGTACAGTAAAAAAGAAGAGAAAGGCCTTTGATATCTCTGTTGTGAAGTATAGGCAATAAGGAACAGTACCACACAGGTTTCCTCCATGGAATATTTTGAGTGCTTTCTCAGTTAAAGCGAGAAGAGTACGTGTTTACAAAGAGCTGGTGCCTTTACTTTGTAAAGATCTTTGCCTCATCTTGAGTTTAATCAGTGCTGCTGAAGAAATTCCATTTTGTGTGTTAAACCTTCTCTGAATATTTGTGGAATATCAGAAAATGTTTTCTATCCTTCTATTTTTCTTTGTTATGAATTGTATCACATGTCTCGTGAAATTTTTGTGCTTGTATAACTTAAATCCTGTCTTTTGCATTTTGTTAAAAGCTGTAAGGATGACTGAAATGAAAATAGTGGTATTTTCACTTTGTCTGATCAACTATTTGCTTTTATACCATACATCTTAGCTACAAAATGAGCAGACTCTATTATAAACATTCACCTTGCGTGATCACATTTATCTGAATTTGGGCTGTGGGTTTCTCACTGTAGTGCTTCTGAAAATTTTCTCCTTTACCTTGTGCTTTACCTACACACCTACGGAACTGATAGCACTACAACAATACTGAGGTCCTACTATTGCTGGAAGAGTCAGACCTGAGCCAGCAGACATTTTGCAAACATTTAAGTTTTAGCAGTTTGTAAGCTGAGCCTGCAGATTCAGTGCCATCAATGATGCTGTCTCTTTAAATTCCCACAGTTGTAGTGCAATCCAGAAGGTAGAATCCTACTTGAAGTTTTCCACGAATTGTTACAGTTGGGTATGGGGAACTATTTAACTCTGGGCTGATTTCACAGTGGCTAGTTATGGGGCCATGTTTTGGATTTGTGCTGAACACAGGGTTGATAATATATAGAGATGTTTTTGTTATTGCTGAGCAGGACTTGCACAGAGCCAAGGCCTTTTTTGCTTTTTGCACTGCCACGCTGGCAAGGAAGTTGTGGGTGCATGGGAGGCTGGGAGGAAACACAGCCAGGACAGGTGACTCAAACTGACCAAAGGGATATTCCAGACCCTATGACATCATGCTCAATGTAGAGAGTGTGGGGAAGAAGGAGGAAGCAGGGGGACGTTTAGAGTGGTGACATTTGTCTTCCCAAGTCAGTGTTACATGTGACAGGGACCTGCTTTCCTGGGAATGGCTGAACGCCTGCCTGTGGGAAGCAGTGAATTAGTTCCTTGTTTTGCTTTGCTCGTGTGCATAGCTTTTGCTTTCCCTATTAAACTGTCTTTATCTCAACCCACGAGTTTTCCAGCTTTTACCCTGCTGATTCTCTCCCTGATCCTGCTGGTGGGGGAGTGAGTAAATGGCTGTGTGGGGCTTGGCTGCTGGCTGGGGTTAAACCACGACAAACTCCAAGATAGCCTTTCAGTACAATAAGTATCATGAGATGCTTTTCTTTTCCTTGTTTCACTGTAGACTTAGAGAATCCTTTTGTATGAGAAGGATCCTGAAAACTTACCTTTCTAAACACAGCCTCTGAACTTGATGATCTTGATTTAAACGTTTTGTGTGGGAAGACCTATCGGAATAAGCTTGCCAAAAAGGGTCCACGTCTCTTTGCCAGGTCCAGTGCCAGCAGGCCTTGCTGGTCCCAGAGAGGTGAGCTCAACAAGAATAGTCTGCTGCTGAGGTAGCTGAATACAGGGAAAGTAACTCTTGGATACTGAAACTGCAGGCAACGGTATAGGAGTGGAAGTAGAGACACTTACATTATGTCAGTTCTTTACATTTAATGACTTACTGTGATGTAAGCTGCCCCATCAAGGGATGTACACATTTTCAGCCTGAGTGAGAAAACTGAAAGCTTCTCCCTTCTGATACACGTGGGTGGCTTTTCCTCCGGCAAATTTGTAATAATGTATGCCAAAATGTATTTGTGTTCTTCGGCAAGATACAGATTTATAAAATATTTATGTTCGTGGCCCCTGGTTCCTTTGATTTTTGATGTTGCAAAATCTTAACAAGATAATATTTTTGCAGTTTTGGGGAATTGTTTTCAAATATCCAGTAGAAAGTTTTTGGCAATATCCCAAATGTTTGCTGACCTGTTCAGTAAACACTGTCCAAATTCAAAGATGGAACCTTTTTCTTTCTTTCTTAAAATTTATTTTTAATTCTTTTCTTCACTACTAGTTTCCAGTTTCTTTAGTTATGTTCAGCTGATTATTGAAAAAATATTCTATTTCTGGTTCCTTGTGTTCTTTATCTCCTGCCAAATTACTTGGCTACCCTCTGAAAAGGTTCAAACAAGAATTTGGCATGCTGGAAACCCTGTTAGGCCCCTGAAAAGAAAATATTCTTAATAATAAAGGCTTAATTATATCCTGAATTTAATACTCTCCCTCCAAAAAGAGCTTGAAAGTTGGAAACCTGAGAGCTATTTCCAGGCAGCGATAAAGTATTTAAATAAAAGGCTCAGCAGCAAAATAAAGAGCAAATAAAGAGCAAACCAGTATTTTATGCAATAATCTTATCATCTGTTTGTCAAGAAACTGAGGTTCTAGCTCATGGCAGAAACAAATTTGGGGTAGTTGAGGCTTTGTGTTTTTTGCTTCCCACTCAATCAAACATAGAATCATAGAATATTAAGGTTTTGGAATGGGCTTTAAAGATCATCTAGTTCCAAACCTGCTTGCCATGGGCAGGGATACCTCCCACTAGATCAGGTTGCTCAAGACCTTATCCAACTTGGCTTTGAACACTGCCAGGGCTGGGGCATCCACAGCCTCCCTGGGCAACCTGTTCCAGTGCCTAACCACTCTCACAATAAAAAATTTCTTTCCTAATATCTAACCTAAATTTTCCCTCTTTCTGTTGATACTCATCACTCCTTGTCCCATCACCACAGTTCCTGAGAAAGGGTCCCTTTCCTGCTTCCCTGTAGGCCCCTTTCAGGTACTGGAAGGTTGCTATGAGGTCTCCATGCAACCTTCTCTTCTCCAGGCTGAACAGCTCCAACTTTCTCAGCCTGGAAATTCCACATCCATCTGGCACTGGAAATAGGGGTTTTGACTCGCTTAGCCTTGAAATCCTGGCTCAGCTGTCCAGTAAGAGTAGAGGTGGGTGCTAAAAAAGGTAACTGTTTAAAGAGGTAATTGTATAATAAATGGAATAACGTGTCAACTACAAGAGGATGGATGGCGTGAGAAACCAAGTGAAGAGAGGCATTCCAATCCTGTGCATTAGTTTTTGCTTTTCAATTTGCTTTTCTTTTAAGTGTTTCAGGAGAGCTCTAGAGGATGCAAGAGAACTTACGTAAGGGGGAGCATAAGCAAGGGGGTTGCCCCTAAGTTCCCAGGGGCCCACCAGGGTGTGCAAATGATAATTTTCAGCTACAAGATTTGGAGATTAGCCTTAAAAATAACTCTAATCTTTGTGTTTCTTCCAGACCATGTCAAACTTTTAGTAACCTAAGTGGGAGAGACCCAGCAAACATTGATCCACTTTTATTTAGGATTCCTAATATGGCCTTAAACCCCTCATTTCTGTTGCCTGGGTGTGAAAAAACCCAGATCTGTAAGGCATAGTCTGGAATTGCTGCAGTCAGGAGCTTTCTTTAACTTTCTAGGTAAGTCCTTCAGAGCCAGTATTTTGTAGGTGGGTGCTTGTCTTTAATAACATCTCTTTCTGTTGCTGAATGTCCTTGTTTTACAAGGAAGAAAGAACAAGGGAAGAAGTAGGAAGAATTCATGTGAAACAATTCAGGTTAATAGGTCTTTCCTAACTTCATCCTCTTGGTCATCTCTTTTGTTCAGGGCATTCTGTTGTTTCAGAGACAATCACTGGAGTGTGTAATTAGAGCTGCCAGCCCATGTTGCCTAATGAAAAAATGGTTTTTTGAGAAATGTTTGGACTATCTTGTGCATCTACAACCAAGTGAAATTGGGTTAAGCTGTAAACAGTTATTGTTTTCATTTTTCATTCTGTGAACTCACTAGTTGTCCTGTGTGATTGGGAATGTGTGACCTTTTCAGTTGCTGTCTTTCAATTAATGTACCACTTTCTTAAGTGTTATAGGCTACTAATGTTTCTTGGACCACAAGCTGTTATGGTACCCCATGTGATTGCCCCTAGCACCACCATTCGATCTGAAGTCTGTGAACAGGGTGAAGTGGTGTTAATACATGAACTAGAATGAATTAAGCAAAAAATTTTCCTAAAAGAAATGTATTTCTTTGTAAGACCCATGTTATTTACTGCTCATGTCTTTGTTCCACTCATGAAGATAACAAATGTTTTTGCTGTAATATTTCGGGTTTGTTACTGTACCATTCTTTGTTTCAAGAGAAAATTAAAAATTCTTTAGGAATATTCTCTGATTGCAATATTGTATGTATGTGTATATGTGGATGGCATCATTACTTACCGTTATATGTAACTAATAAAGTGTATAATGCAAAACTCGATTGGAGCCAAGATTACCATTTTTGGTAGCTGCTGATACAGCTGCTGATCTAAAAATTATTCTTTTTTTTTTCCTTAGAAGCTGCCTTTTAATGTAGGGGAATTTAAAGTGAATGAATTACTGTGTCATTAATAAACGTGCATGCACACGTACATGCAGAGTGCATGTATGCAGGGGGTATAGATTTATTCTACACAAGAGTATTGGCATCCAGAGAAATTTTCTCAGGGCATGGAAGGAATTAAATATTAGCAACAGTTGAGTTGCTCTGCTCTAGCCTAGTGATTTCTCCTTTGCTTTGAAAAAGGTCTGTGAGGAAAAAGAAGTATAAGTTAACCCCTAAAGCACAGCAATCCAAAGGCAGCTTCTTGAGGGTAGTGCAAATATTATTTTAATAAAGCACTTGGTTGCAGAGAGATTATCCGAGGAGAGAGAATAGATTAACTTCTTAGAGAGGATAGAGTGAGACATTATCTTCAGTTATGGCACACCTTTTGTTTCTAAACCCGGAGTTGTCTCGAGTGGGTGCACAGCAGAACCCTTGTGAACACTCTGTAAGGGTTCTGTCACCAACAGGCATTTAGCCCAGCACAACAGCTGTGAACCAGGTAAGTTTGAGCAGTCTGCTTCAAAGAAAACAGAGTCACTGTAAGAAAATGGTTTAGGTTTTCTTAATCTCACTTCTCCACAAAACTGGGATTCTCTCTCAGCTATTTTTGTATAGGAGATTCTTCACAGAAGGAGGTTGCAGGTGCTGCAGAGCACAGCAAACATAAGCCTTTTGTCATATAACAATGCTAACTTCCAGTTCAACACTGGGTTGAACTTTCAGATGGGTTCTTTATTTTACAACCATGACTACAGGGTTATGTTCCTCTGTGAAAGCTGCAGGCAATATCTCCATTTAGCATTGTAATTTAAACATTCCTGCAGCTAGGAAGGAACAATCCCAGAAAACTATTGTCTTAAAATTTCTTTTGGTTGTTTGGGTTTTGTTTTGGTTGGTTGGTTTTTTTATCAGATGCTCAGTCCTTCTTGAAAGAAACCTCATCAGGTAAGTGGAAGATGTGAATTCATCCTGACTGTGATAAGTCAGATAATAATTTCTGTAGTTGGGAGGAGGCCCTGTGTATCCAAAGCTAACAAGTGCTACCCTTTCCAGAAAGGGATATGGTTTGTGTATGGATAAAATAGGCCGGTGCTTAATAGTCCAGCTGCTTCCTGGGCTGAAAGCTTTCTTAGCCTGCTGGATTTCCTTCTGGTAGTGCTTCACAATGAGCTAACCTTATCTGACTATGTTCTAAATCAATATTTACAGCTTTATTAAACAACAACTTTCAGAAAACAAAACAATAATATCCTGAACTTCATAGAAAGGACTTCAGCAGGTATGTCAAAGTAAAAAAAACAAACCGCTAAGTACTGGCAATGGTTAGGCATAATTACTGCTTTGTGAGTAATCATATATATTTGTGAATAACTGGCTAATACCTGCTTAATAACAGGGATCAAAATTCAGCCTCTAGGGTTCTAATTTCCAGTGTTTTCTCAGTAAACTGCTTCTTCTTGTAATAATGCTTAGACCATCAAAAAGATTGCAAATAATATCTAAAGGGCATTGTCAGTATTGTGGCCTTACGTTACAAGTTTCCAGAAACAGACACAAGACCCTGAAAAAGCTGTAAACTCCACGCAGATGGAAAAATCCCAGGCAAGTATGGAAGGCTTCAGTTTTCCTTGACTGCATTAGGCTGAACCAGAAAGTTCCCAATTTCTTTTCTCAGAATGGGGCAGTCCTGAGGTTTCTCAGGTGCTGATCACTAATTTTAATAATGTAAAAGAGGCACTGCAGAGAAGTGCAAATTGTCCAGCTTGCTGCCAGGAGAAAAAGAACTTAAAACATAACAGCACAGTTTCTAAGGCTGTGCATGCTGCTTTCTCCATAAAATATTGGGAGACAACTTGATTTCTTCAGAACAATTCATCAGCTGACTCTGAACAACCCTACGAGCATTAGACAGAACATACATCCTGTGCGGAATGAAGAGGCACTGTCCCACCGGGGTGAGAATGACTCACCCATGGATGATTAACTGTTTCCATGGGACTTGAATTTGTGTTATCTTCTGCTCCCAATGAAGAACTGAAATTTCCTCAGGGCCCTAATTCTAAAAGCCTGAAAATCACTAAGAGGCCACTGCCTAGATAGAAATCCCATGATTTTGCATCTTGTCACTGCTCCATGGAAGCTTCAAAAAGATAGAAGAGTCCTCAAAGGCGCAGAAGCTTGACAAAGTTATCCAAGCCAGGCTGTTGCCAGGGGAGATGTGGAGGTCCCTCGGCTTTTTTCTGGGGAACAGAATGCCCCATGGTTTTCCTCTGACCTACTCCATCTGCTCAGGCTAGAACTGTAAGAATCTCATGAGGGTTGAAATGTCTGTGCGCAGGAAGAGTACAGAGAGCAATATGGAGCCTCCTCGAAGTCTGCAGCTTGTGTGATTGCACTTACAGCATTCCTGGTTTTGATTCCAAAGTCAGAAAATGCTCTGTAGGCTTGACTTTGCAAGTTAACGCTGACAATGAGCATCATTCCTGTGATGGAAAATAATGAAGATGACTGCGAAAAAGTAATTTTGCTCCAGATTACTATGCTTGCTTTAAGAACGTTGTTTTTAAAATGACCACAGTGTATGAATTATACTGTCACCTTCAGGTGCTTCTGCAGTGTTCTGATTACTCTTCAATCATGTTCTAGAAAGGAGGACTCTTAACCTGCAGAGCACTGTCTCCTAGGGATGCTTGAAGTGATGCTTCAGATCAAAGACTGTTTGATGAAATCATCAGCTGATGACACCTTGTTGTATGATGGTATCGAGAACAGTGTATCACACATTTCTCTTTGCAGGTTTCACACAGCATCCAAATTCAAAGGCTTTTGGTTTTTGGGTTTGTGATATGTTCTCTTGCTAGATTTAAAAACTTTTTCTGTCCACTTCTCTTTCTTCCTAGAAAGAAAATGTATTTGAGGAATTTTAATACATAAGGGTGACATCTGGTCAGAGCATTTCCTAACCAGCATCATACTGTTCCTACAGGACACAGAGTATCCTATAAGAGAACTAGACTGATTAATTTATTTCTGAACAGCACCAACAATTATGCTTCTAACCTTAACCAGGCAGGGGTTTATTGCAGTACGTTCCTCTCTCCATGCAGGCAGGGATGACTCAGGTGCTCACGTGGCAGTGGAGGTTGTCCTGACTCTCACCTTTGGTGCCACCACTGGCAGCTCCCTTGTGACAAGGGCTGCAGGTGTGGATGATTGCTGAAAAAACTCATTTCTAATAGCAGGTTTTTTTCACCCACTACCTTTCCTTACTCCCTGCATTTTTATTATACAGTTCCCCTGAAAAAAAAGAAAAAGGTGATTGTGCTGGGTAGTTTACCCTCTGACTAAAGGTTAAAGAAGTAGTCAGGTAAAAAAAAAAAAAAAAAGGATTGTCGATATTTATGGAAGGTTGCATTACTGTTTCCTTGTTTTTATAAGCAGAGCTTGCTGCAGAGACCAAATCATGTGCTATGCCATTAAGCAAGACCTTCACAGCAATCTGTATTGACGTAATTATTTTCCCAAGCTACTGTAATGTTTGAGACTGAAACTTTGGGATGAGGCAGAAGGTCTAAGGCAGGCTAATATAGGGACACTGATGTTGTACCCCTCAGAAACAAGTTTCGCTTGTATCTGGTGCTGTCTGTTATAGACCAAAGTGAGGTGACTATAGTAAGTATGAAAGGCTATTTCACTGTCAGCAAAGGCTCAGTCAGGCCAAGTGGGACATGCTGACCTGCCAGTGGGGAGTGGAAAGTGAACACTTGCAAACCAGTTTTGGGGGAAGCCTAATTTGTAGGCTTTTCCTGACACTTTGATTTTTTTTTTTTTTTTTTAAATCTTTTTTAATGCAAGGAAATCTTGCCTGTTGGATTAGTCTGAGAACAACTGGACTCCAGTTAGACCCATCTAAAATAAACACTGTAACAATTCATTGCAGTAGAATTACTGCAGGAGGTCCTGGACTTGCTCAGCCAGAAATCGAAAGATGCTGCTGAAGTTTTTCATTGGTTCAGCCAAAGCAGCTGATGGCTGTTTTTTCTGCTAAACCACTGTAAAATAAATAGTGTTAAGAGTTCCCAGAAAGGGTTACTTTGGGGAAAGCTCCAGGGAAGCACAACCTCAAGCATTCCTTTTATAACTTTCTTTTTTTTTTTTTTTTGGCTTGTTTTAAGTCTGCCTTACATTTTTATTTTCCCAGTGATCACATGGAAGTTTTGTGAATACATAAAGTTGTTCTTAGTGGTTACGCAAATCACTCCTGCAAACTTGCATCAACAGCCCTTCCCATATTACCATGGTTACATCCTTATCACAGTTTGACCTTGCATTTCATTACTAAAAAAATCCCATTCCAGCATAATGTTCAGTTTAGGAAAAAGCCCCAAACAAACAAGTTTTATTTTCCTTTTCAAGGATCAAATGAGGTCACTATGGTCTTTCCAGGAAATGGGCTCACGTTTGCATAGGAATAATGCCGTTCATTTATGGCAGGCAAACTTTCTTGACCTCTGTTTTTCTGCTTCCCCCTGCAAAACTGAAGCACTTTTGTAGTATTAACCATTTCAGACTGCAGCTGCTCTTCTGGCTCCTACGTTCAGAAAAAGCCATAAAGATCTCTTGGCCCAACCTTAGCAGAACAGTGTGCCCCCACTGGGAACACTTTGTGAGGTACCCAGGCTTCAGGCTTTTGACCACTGATAGCTGGAGGCATTGGGCATGTTTCCTGCTCCACCAGTAACTGACCTGCTCTCAGGTTCTGCTACAGGGACGGTCAGTGAGTGCAGAACGCTTTGCATCCACTTTTGGTGATCTGGAAAACAAGCCAGGTCCAGAACTGTAATGTTGTCATTTACCTGATGGAAAGAAAACTTTTGATTGGATGCTGTA